GGAGACAGAGGCGCCCTGCTGGGGTTTGAGGCGGGTGGAGACAGAGGTGCCCTGCTGGGGTTTGAGGCGGGTGGAGACATGTAACCCTACACATGCTCAGTCTCCTCCTGAGCCCACTAGAGCAGCAGTCCTATGCGGAGATGCTCACTCAGCTCTATTTAAATGCCCCCCCGGGCCGGAAGGCAACATGAAAGAAGCGTTTGATCCTCTGATATGAGACCCCAAACACCCAGAAAGTATCACATCACACACAAAGACTTTGCTCCTCATTTTTAATCAGGTTACATTTATCTAAACAGAATTCTGCTGTATTTCTCTGGGCCCAGCCAGAGGCCCCCGGAGGCCCCCGGGGGGGCCCCTAGGGTCCGAGGCCCGGAGGGGCCCCTAGTGTTTGCGAGCGGACGGCTGAGGGAGGCGGAACTTGGCCATCTCCACATCCAGGTCTGCGAAGGTGTAGGGGTTGTACTCGTGGTGCTGGTAGTTCTTGTAGGTGCTGTTGTCGAAGGGCTCCGGGGGCTCCTGGGGCTCCGGGGGGGCCGCCTCTGCACAGAGAAGGAGGTTAGGGTAAAACTACCACAGCATGCATCAGGTCAGACTGGACACCGTCCTGAGTCTGTATTAGTGACCGGTGGTTTTCCTCATGCTCCCTGAAGGCAGGCCGATCAACAACAGTCCACATGTAGACAGAGAACAGACGCCCCCTAGTGGACGGATCACCGGCACAAAGTGCATTTCAGAAGGGCAACAAACCACAATCAGAACAGGCTCCTGATTAACCCCCCATGCAGGCGTCGACAGACCAGTTCCCCGTCTGGAAAACCTTCCCTGTTCCCACCAGTCCTCCAACAGGCCCACGGAGAAGAACAGATTAGGGGTTAGGAGGACAGAGGTGAACAGGGTTAGCCCGCAGGTCTGGGAGCTGCCGCACAGAGAGGGGATTTAGGGTGGGAACCAAACATCTGGCCAGCACTCCCAGATGCCTGCTGCTGTCGGGCCCCCCCCCCCCACTACTCTGACAGCACAGAGGGGTTAGTGGATACTGGGAAATGATTACAGCTAGACGGAGGAGCGCCATCAGGCTGGACGCGGCCGTGGACACAGACCACTGGAAACGCTGCCGGATGAAAGCTCAGGCGTGATCATGTGGGACTACCATGTGTGAGATCCACCAGAGGAAGGAACACGGAGTCCAGCAAGCATGTTCAGGCAGAGAGTTCATCGCTAAGACCAGCTAGCAGAGAGCAGGTTAGACGGACGGAGAACAGAGGCTAGCAGACACCTCCGGGACACACAGGACCTCCACTAAGAAAGGAGACGGAGGTTTGCGGGGGGGGGTCGGGTGGTGTGGTGTGTACCCTCAGGCTCTCCGGCAGGGGCCTCGGCCTGGAGCTCCTCCCCAGCCGCCTGGGCCTGGACAACCTCCAGCTGCTCCTCAGGGGGCTCCAGCTCCTCTGCAGCCGTCTCTTCTTCGTGGGCTTCTCCAGGAGCATCGTCCAGCAGCTCCTCTGGAGGGCTTAGATCTTCTGCTGGGGTGGGGTCCTCTGTAGCCATCTCTTCTTCATGGGTTTCTCCAGCTCCCTGGACGGGGGCAGTGTCCAGCAGCTCCTCCCCAGCCGCCTGGGCCTGGACAACCTCCAGCAGCTCCTCTGGAGGGCTCAGAGCTTCTGCTGGGGTTGGGTCCTCTGCAGTCATCTCTTCTTCATGGGTTTCTCCAGCTGGGGTAGCTCCAGTGTCTACAAGGGTTTCTGAGTCTGCTTGTTCTTCGGTTGGCTCCTGGGTCCCTGCTGGAGAAGCTGCTGGGGCCTCTGTGTTGGTTGGATCTTCTGCAGCCTGTGAGGAAGAGCTGGCCTCGGGGCCAGAGGGACGGGCTTCCTCCTCCACGTGTGGAGCTGGCTCTGAGGAAGCAGCCTCTCCTCTAGAGCCCCGCACGTCTTCCTCTGCTGGCTGAGCTGGCTGCTGCTCCTCTGAGGGGGAGGTCCTGGTTTCCGTCTCCACCTTCTTATCTTCAGAATCTGAATCTGAATCAGAATCGGAGTCACTGGAAGATGAAGAGGAGTCGTCTGCGGCTGCAGCTCCAGGCTCTGTGGGTGGGGCTGGAGCCCCGGCTGCAGGCGGAGCTGGAGCCTCCTGGACAGCCTCCTCCTGGACAGCCTCCTCCTGGACAGCCTCC